ATGTTTCGCTCCTTAGATAAGAGTGTATCAAGTTTTGGACGAGAAAAGTTTGGACGTTCCCGATCTTCACAGGCTGCTAAATGTTAGATACGTTGGAGCGCACGCGTCTGGTTGGCAGGCAAGATTATTATAGAATTATGAAATTTTTAAAACATATTATTTTCCATGTTATTATTAAATGCTCGATTTTCTTTCTCTCTTCTTCTTCCTTTTCATCAGATATTCAATGTGAAGCAAGCTGTTCTCGCTTGGCTAAACGGGGAGCCAAACCTTGGACTTTTAGTAACCGCTTCCACTTTATTCGAGGATCAAGTGAACGTGGAATTTTCCCGACGGAATGAGTATCATCATAGCAAGCAACCGATTTTGGTACTTTTCGACGACGACGGGAAGGATCGTCGAGGTAACAACAACAACGAGATCGAACAAGTATTTCATGACGACGGGGACGAAGGGAAGGATGATTCGAGGAACGAGTACAGCGATGTGGTAGAGGAGCGTGGAAAAGGGCAATTGGAAGAGACTCGATGGGAAAATAAAAATAAATCCGAATCGTTTCAAAGGCGGAGGAGAACTCAGATGAGGGAATACGACGGAGTGACTGAAGATGAGCAACATCTCGTGGAAGAATCTTTCGGACGGCGTCGAAGGGAAACTAAGATTCTTTCGAAAAAATTGCACGGGAAGGGAATTTCCTCGCCCGACACGATATTTAGAGGCGGTTTAACGTCGATGGATATATATGAACGAGCGATGCGTCGCGAGAGAATGGCAGAAAGAGTTCGTGAAAGATCGATGTCTCGATCGAAGATTCGCGAGAAACGATCGGCGAAAAGCCACGCGTCCGTTCGGCAAAACGTCACCGAATGCTCGAGGCACGAGCTCTACGTGGATTTCAAAGAGATTGGTCTTTCCTCCTCTATCATTGCCCCGCTTGGTTACTCAGCTTTTCATTGCAAAGGTATCTGCGAATCGCCGTTGAGTCAAGATCAACAACCGACCAATCACGCGACTATCCAAGGAATTGTTCATAAAATGGGACTGGTGAAAGGGGTTGAGAGACCCTGTTGCGTACCTACTAAGCTGTTGGGCACGACCATTTTGTTCTATGACGATAACGAGAACGTTATCTTGAAAGTTTATCAAGACATGATCGCTGACCGTTGTGGATGCCGTTAAGAATTTCGTCGTCGTTTTTAGAATCTGCGCGATGAAACGTTCGTTCTCCTTGTGAAAGAAGTAGCGAGTGAATTATATCTCGATGATATTGAGAAAAAAAGAAAAAAGAAAAAAAAAAAAAAGAAAAGAAACGAAGAATACATACGGATATGATATGCGAGGAAAGGGAAAGAAAGAATTGAAACGCATGTGTGTGTGTGAGAGAGAGAAAGAGATAGATAGAGTGCAAGAGTGACAGAATACATCAGGTAAAAATGATTTTTACTACACGTTAGCCCGTGAGTCATTCCTAAAGGTTCATCTGAAGATCGCCGTTGTTAAGTTGTCGTCGCAACATTGTACATAAAAACATTCCTAAATTCGCGTATAGGGTCATGTGTATCGATCAATTAGCACGTGTCTATATCGTCATTAAACAATTAAATCCTGTATCGTCATTAAATTATTATTATAATCACGCTTGTAGAGAGTTAATTGTCTCGATCATTGTATATACTATTGTATCGTAAAATTAGAGTTATTTATATTTTAATTATGACATAATAAAAACGAATATTTAAGCTAGAAGAATCGTTTCTCACGCGTGGTATATTATTCTTACACCCTTTCTCACACCCTCCCGTCGAGACGAGATTCGCGCCACAAACTTTAGGTTCTATATTTGGAAATTTGATGGTATCGTATCCACCGAGATACATTTGAAATCATATATTTACGATACTTTAATAAACCGACACATCACAATAAAAGAAGCCGGTCGAATAGATTCGAAGGAACGAAGTCGAGTCGAGTTCGGATACGAACGAAAGGTGATTTTCTTGGAAGAGGAGAGGCGTTTCATTCGTTGAGCGTTGAAATGAAGGCGTAAATTTTACGAGTGTGCCGTTAATAAAATAAACGTGACGGTAACAGTGCTCGAGACGATGACTTTGGCGCCACTGGATGCAGAGAAGCAGTCGTGGAATGTCAGCGCTACCGGTGTTAAATGCCGTTTTTTATCCTTTTTCTGCAATCCGGTATCGGTGGCGCTCGACGATCTACGAGTAAATAAACGAAGTTGAATCGAAATCAGTTGTCGCCCCGTTGAAAAATCTGGTATACCAATGGTGGCGCCTGTACCATTCCAAATATCTGATACCGATGCTTTTACGACTCATCGTGTCGCCTTCGCCCCTCTTCCTTCACGATGACGCGGTCATATTCGCTGCTCTCCTTTTATTCCATTGCTGGAATACATAATATGGATCGGAAATGTAAACAGATTAGTTTAACAACCTTGTTAAAGCCCACAATACAATCATATTCGAATCGATTCAGAACTTAATGCGCGCGTCACTAGGATGAACGTAATCCACATGGAGCACAGCGTGAAGCAATAAGGAATTAGAAGAAATTGTGAACGATTAGGCGATGATGATTGATCCCCATCATCTCTATCGCAGCTCGTGTTTGTCTTCCTGTTTTTTTTTTTTTTCGTTAATTATTTTTGGAATAGTTGTGCATACATTTTCATCCACATCTCCCACGCGAAGTCAAAGAAATTTAATCAATTTGTCCGAAATCAAATAATTTTAGGTTTTCCATCCAACTTTTTTAATAACATTCGCGCACTCCGTGAATCTTCGTAGATAAAATCTTTGGCGATAGATCGTGCTAGGAGAAGTAACTATAAAAGAAAAAGAAAAAAAGGGAAGACGAAAGACATTTAAACGAAAATACGAAGAACGATAAATAAGGCGATCAGCGTTGAAAAGAAACAGTGTTGCTCTTTCGACGCGGGGATTTGCATATTTGCGAGCAACCGATCGTTCGCGTGCCATCGTACCGCATTCCGTATGCGTGCATCTCCAGTTATATTTAATCCATGGTGGGTGTATTTTCGAATCTGTCCGCCTAAAAATAACCGAAACGCGTTCCATTGGATTCCAATGCTGTATTTAGATCCTTGATATCGTAATACGTGTCATTCGCGTTCATGGCAACCAACTTGAGAATTGAAACCTATTATTATTTCCTCTATTTTTACATAGTTGTACATTATAGCCGTGATGGAAATCGATGATTTGAATGTTTAACACGCTCTCGTGTATTTTATCAATCCGAGGTACTCTCGAGGCGAGGAAGAAACAATTAAATTATCTCGTGAAAACAATCTCGTGGCTATTCAAAGGGTTGAAGATGGTAGGATAGATATCAGAGAAAAGGCGAGGTAATGCAACGTGGAAGGAACGAGGCATGTGGAGAGAAGAACATGGAGGTAAAACGGAATCGGTGTAAAAGGAAGAGAGAAAAGCGATAGGGCGGGAACTGCCGCTAACATAAGTAAGAAACCCTAAGCCGTGAACTGTACGACGACCTGTACAATGACGTAGTATTCTGTCATCCGGCGCGCTACCTCTCCAGCCTCTCCACTACTGCTGCTTGGCCATTATAGTGGGACAGAACTTCACGAGTTCACAACTATACATATAGTGGTAGGCCTTTGAACAGTACGCGCCTCGTGCCTCGTGTATGCTGTGTTCCTTCTTTCATGTTGCCTTTGTTCTTTGTTGTCCTTTCGTTGTTTTTTTTTTTTTTTTNCTTACATCCATCCAATTTGCATGCAATTTTTCTTTATCGATTTACTA